TACACGTACGTGGTTTGGGTTGTAGGGAGTACTTTTACTTGAGAGGATTGTGGTAACTGTCCTCTGCTGGTGGGGGAGGTATCGGCGCAATTTTGTGGTGAGTGAGTTAGATAGTTGTGATTTGCACTGCTGTCTTTGCGGCGCAATTTTGTGGCCGGCAATGTATCGTTCAGGTCCTCCTTGTGTGCGTCTGTCTGTGAATTTCAGGGGGTTATGTGTGCTTCTTCTTGCTGTCAATCTCTAGCGAAGCGCAAATGTGGATTTATTGTATTGTGAACCTTCACGTTCCGTTGAAGGTCTCGGTAGATGAGCGGAAAATGTGTCAGTGAATAAGCGGACCCTCGCCTGCGGACGAGGATGAAGAGGGCTTGTGAGAGAGACTGGGAGGGCAAAGCAGCAGCGGCATGCGACAGCCTTCGCGAGACCTCTGAGAGTTTTTCTGCTGTCATGAATGAACTGAACGCAGCTCAGGCCGGGCTGTACATCCAAAACCCAACACGCCCCCCCCTCCTCCTCTGCACCCCCTTGCGAACGGGCACGTTATCAGGGTGTACCGGTGATTCAAACAGGTGTGATATACCCGGTTCTATTGCTATTGCTTGCTTCAATCCGTTAGTGCATACACACACTAGGACGTTCTCGACTGAGCTCTGGACGGAATTGCTGTCCGATACGTCCAGGTCAAGGTGGAATTGCGGTCAGATGCATGCAGCAAAGCCCGGGTGTGAGTATGCCCTGAGTGCATCTGCTTGTTTCGGCAAAGGGTTTCTCGCTCTGAGGAATGTAGCTGGTCAGGGGAGGTAAAGAGCGAGAGAGGGAATCCTTTTTTTTCCCCCTTTTTCTTAGAGATAGGAACTCTTACATGGGGTAGAGTCACCATTTTGTTCGGTTATTCATGTTGTACGATGTTTGTTTAAAGTTTAAAGTTTAAGTTTAAACTTTGTTACCCATGCAGTTTTATCTTTTAGAATTGATAGTCCTCTGTTCTTTAACTTCTTTTATCTTTCACTGTTTTTTTTTTTTTCCCCATTTGAGTTGATAATCTATCGCAAGGCTTTGTATGCCAATGTAGGGAGACGGGCCATGGCGAATGTTATGTACTATGTCCACACACGGGAGCAGGGAAGGTTGTAGGAATGATGGCCGTTTCCTGTTGTGATATTTGGATGTGTGGGAGGCGGCGGAGGTGGATTTCGTACTAAGGACGTTACTCTTCCTGAAGAATGTTTGTCTTCATGAGAAGATGTTCCTGAGAGGACAGGAAAGGCCTATGAAGTCTCTCCGCTCGGCAATTCATCGCCGGCCACGTGGCACAGTCTGTGATTTCAATAACTGAGGAATCTTTTTTCGCTTTGAGATATTGTCCAGAGTTTGGATTTTTTTTTTTTTTTTGACATTGACTTAGTAAAGACTGGTGAAGATTTGGCATCAACTGTCACTTGTCGTTTAGCACAACGGAATGTAGTCAACGGACCGGTAGGCAGCATCTATTCTTTGTCAAGTCCGAAAGGTACTAGCCTCTGCGTCTGAGGGCAGATCGTGCTTGTGCACAGGTTTGGAGAAGGGGTATGGAACTGAGGGGGTGGTGACAAATGCAAGTACTTTCACTTTTTGGTGAAGGGGTATGGAACTGAGGAGGGGGGGGGGG